AAAAAAAAAAAAAAAAAAAAAAATACGATTGCTGAACACGAAATTATTGATTTTATTAGAACATATTCAGGTTAATCAAGATATCTCTAACGCAAAGGCAAAGTAGATTTTTATAAGAAAGTATAGCGAATTCTAAAGAATATTTGAATGAATAGTAGGGGAAGCGTTTAATCACAGGGATCATTGAGCAGAGAGATATCAGGAATCCGAAAAAAATGAATCACTTGTCGCACCCGCTTTTCACTCAGATCTAGTAAATTTCATTTCACGCTCTCGTTCACTCTCGCTTCTCTCGCTTAGATCCGAATCCTCCCCCATACATCGTGCACTTCAAAGTTATCGTCGCATCAATACGATCATAAATCCCAAAAGATCACAGTCGCGCAGGAAGTGTTCCCAAATGACGCAAGGTCCGAGAAGACGCGTAAGGGCACTTGTGCCGTCTGGATTTTGATACGAATCTGTAAAACACTTCGTTTTTACAGACGAATAGAAAAATTATCGGGTCTTCCTTACGATGAAATTCACCCTTCTCTTTCTTTTCCCGGCGAGAAGACCAAGCCGCTGGGACGATTCGCGTACAGCACCCTTGGCTACACCAGAGACGTTGTCGGAGGCATCGACGAGCAGTCCGCCGTCGCCGGTAGTCCCGGCACCTAGGCCGATGCGACGCACCCCCAAGATCCCGGGAAACTTGTCGACGGCGGCGGACGACCTGAAGAATAATCTGCACTACGCGATGCTCTCAGCGAAGAACTACTTCCTGAGGACGGGGGAGCACGCGGGGGGCAGTAACAACGGCAGTAGCAGCGGCAACAGCGAGGCGAGTTACGAGAGCGCCAGGAGTCTGGCCGCCGCCGGTCTTCCGCCGCCGGTCCCGAGACGACGGGACTCTGTTATCGTCAGGAGGTGGATATCTTTTACTAAAGAAGACAAAATTTAACTTGTCTCTTAGAAAGAAAAGATTTCCAAGGCCCAGTTATTTCAGAACTCACACGGTTAACCGTTTATAATCGAAGTTCAACTTATTTCTAGTATTAGAAAGAGAGATGAGGAATAAGTTAAACCTCAGTTAAGAACTCTTAACCATGAATTGTTGAAACTGAGCCTAAATGTAATATCAAAAGTCGCTCTTAATTCTGATAGGGTTGATTCTTCTGTAATCCTCTATTATCCTGTATATGTTATGTATTCGTAGTCAGGTCTTATATTTAAGACTTCCTTAAACTTATCTTTAGACGCTCAGTAGTCAATAAAATAATTCGTAGAGCGTCCGAAGATCAACTTAAGGAAGCCTTCAATATAAGGTCTGACTATGCATACATTAGTCTACTAAATATTTTAATGAAGTTAGTAAATCTATTCTACAAGTGTCTTGAACTCTCTTTCATCAGAATTTGTATAAATAATACATGTTTCAGAGAACAACGGACATGCACAGCAGCGTGTTGCAGGGACGATTTGTCGGAGAATTCGTCAACTCACACATCCTCGCACTCTTCAAGAGTCTCCCGTACTTCGCATCACGTTCAAGTGGAGTTTAACGAGGAAGAGACCGGTTCCAGCTTGGATTTCTACGAAGCGAAGGTATGTATACTCAAAACCTTGCGGTGAAAAATAATTCCTACAACCATCATATGAGTTCGTATCTTTGTATTTTCAGGATCCCTCTGGGCAGCGTGATAGTAGCAATGATGTCTTCCTCAGCGTGCGTAGTTCACCAGAGTGCAAAGGACTTATGGCACCGGCCACAGATCTAGGTGCTGAATGGAAGAAAGGAATCGATGCTACCGGCGTGGGTGGTGACGCCTCGTTACCGCTTCTCCGAGGCCTATCGCCCACACCGACTCCCGGCCAGCACAATTCGCCATTTTTCAACGCTAAGCGGAAGAAATATGTGTATCCCATTACGTTGGTGGGACGAGGAGAGAGCAGCGTCTAGTCATAGATTCTAGATCAAGAGGCATAATCAATACGATTGCGAAGGCATTCTTCATTCAGTTAAATAGCCAATCGATATTTTATCGAGATAAAAGAAATAAAATGATAATTTCGTTCTTTGCGGCTCATGTATATGGTTTGATTCTCTTTAACTTCGATTGAAAGGAATATTTATTACGCGTAAAATGACATTAACTCAGCGAATTGAAATAAAACCAATCGAGGACCACGAGACACGATAATAGTAGTCAAAAGTAGGTGTTTAAACATGTGCCAAATTTTACTTCTCCAACTTCCTCTTTTTCCTTCAATTTATAAATTTCTTAAGTAATCAAACCAAACGGTATTCTAATAGACGCGTGTAAAGATTTAGAATTAGAACATCTTTAAAACACGTTCTTGGTACGTTTCGATTGTTCATTTTCGATTTACAGGTACAAGATTTCAGACGTACTTTCTTCAATCATTGTCCTATGTGTGTGTGTCTCGATACAAATATTTCAACTAGAGATATTACGAGAGATACAATTTTGTAATCTTATTGTAATAGGCACAATTACAAAAAATAACTTCTAACAGGATTACTTAGAAATAATCAATGATAAGAGGATACGTGTGCATGTTTCCAAGAACAACGTTGAAAAATAATCGAGCAATTATTTTAATAATTGATCAATGAAACTAGATATAATTGTGTGATATGAAATTATCTTTTTGGGGGAATTTTCAAATTCTATTGTATATCAGAAAATCTATTCCCCATTCGTTTAAGATCGGAAAGAAATGCATTTCTGCAACTATAAATCTCTTAAGATTAAAATATGTACTGCAGCATATTGCAGTAATGGCCTATTTTGTATTAATATCGTTTATTAAACTTACAAAGAGACCATTGATTTTTATATATTTTTAAATATAAATCTGTACCAAATAAAAATCAAATCTCGTCATACATTCCGTACAATTTTTTGATATAATTTTTACTGTTCTTAAAACATCATACTTCAATGTACAAATCGATACGCAGTAATAACCATCGATACATTTTTTTATTTTATACTTTAATCAAGTTGCTCGAGTTTGATGACGATACTTAGTGCGAATGAAGGAATATTTCGCGATTACATAGTCCAAAGATGCGACTATCAAGTATGCGATCTTTCTTAAGAATTCGAGTTTTATCGCTGTACTTATGTAAAAAAAAAACCACGAGGTGGCATTTAAATTCTAGTCAATATACATATATATAT